CTGTCATCGCTGAGAGTGCATCGGAAGTGGAGTGTTTAAGTTGTTTCTTCTACACATCACTACACTGCTTAAGCTGTTTAATACCTGCTCACTTTTATAAATACACAAAGTAGATATTGCAGTTGGAAGCAAAGGGGTACACTTTGCTGGCTCACTCGCTTACATCCCCGGCCTGTGGGGTGCTTGTCAAAGCTGTTAGTGGCACCTCGATGAATTGCCTGTTCGAAGCTTCCGTTGTATGAGTGAACCGCGACACGCAACATTGCTGGTGGAACTCAGTGGCACACGGGCACGAGAGTGCGGCGATAGTTTCTGTGTCATGAGCTTAATCCCTAGTTCGGCGATATCTTTGTGAAAACCAAACAAACAAAGGAACTACTTTTGTCCATAAAATGACTCTTGAAATTTAGTGCCGTGCAATAACATCGATGAAACGGGATATTTCGGGTGGCAACCAGGTATATGTAGAGAAGTTTCATTTGAATGTCAACTAATTTAAGCTCGAAAGAATCACGTTAGCAAACCAAAAGTTTGCTATATAATCGAATGAAACAAGGGGAAGGCAGAATCTGAGTAAAGCATTCTTTTCGGTAATTCTCATCAGACTCAAATATTACGTGATGATGACAAAGTGCTAAATGGACCGGATTGGGCTGCATATAGCTCAGCCTGTTTACTTCCAACAGGAAGAAATCAATAATTCACATGATCCTTGTTGGTAGCTCAGCTGGCATGCAACTGTTGTATCTGTTTTTCTTTTGTGTATTGTATTATATGTATGTATGTATGTATGTATTTCCTTCATGTCTTAGACGGGTTCAATCTTCTGGGTAGACTAAGAAAAAGGTAATGCCAACGGAAATGGTACGTAAGTGTCTTAGTAAATTACATCGGAAAGGAATCAGCGCATAGGGAAAATTTGTTCACTTTACGAGCACCGAATAGCTGCACCCCAGGCGTACTAAAGTAGATCGTAACCAAGTAGTTTATAGCCACAACAGGATACACAACGGTATGTATAAACGGATGAGTACTTGGATGATAACCATGCTACATCTTGGATATTTGCAACACAGTGCGAACATTGTTTGGAAAACCGCAAGTTTGACAGTGGCCAGTGAGACTTAGTTGTTGTAGTACTGTGGTAGTTGTCGTGCCAAATAAGCCGTAAGAGGCGAACACCAACAGTACGTATTGGGTACTTAATCTCATGCCTGTGCAAGTAACTCTTAGCCTGACCTCCAAATGAAACCCATACATGTTTGTTCATACATGCTTGTTCATGCGGACTAATGTGTCTCTCCAGTTTTGTGACAGTTAATAATAAAGTCCGTGGAAACACATGCGCATATGTTGCATGCGAACTGCCATTGGATACAGATGACACCAATCTATGTATATATGTGTATACCGAATGAATTCCACGAGGACCTTCATACCGGTTTTGTACGGTTAACTTAGTGCAGTAAAACTACATTCGAGCAAACCGAAAATAACATCACCAGAATTTGAAGAAGGTGAGTTTATGACAAACTCATGTTGATTTCAGGTGTTGCGAATCCAAGGCAAATTTGATCGATGCGAATTCCGTGGACTGCTCAAAAGGGCGGTTGCTCAGGTGCCGGAGAAGGCACTATTGTATGCGGAATAGAAGCACCATGAGTATGTTCTCATTCAATTTACTAATCCAGGCCAATAAGGCGGCGTATGTGGTACGTTTGTCTGCGTGATGAGTAATCTTGCATTTCAAAAGTAGATGTTGCTTGAGCTCCCCGGTGTGGATGCGCTTGATGTGAATGTTGACAAGGTGCCTGCCTGTCTATTACCCACTACCTCGTCCATACTGGCTCCAGGAGACAGTTAGTCGTCGCTGGAGAGGGACGGAGTGCACCGTCCTCGTGACGGTGCTAGGCCCAAAGAGTGGTTCCATGCAACCTGTGTGGAACGGGCTACGGTCCAGCCACCGCCTCGTGTACGTCTGGTGTGTATGATTTCCCAAGTAGGCCGGAATGCTTCCGTTCTGCTTGTTTAAGGAGTGTGGGCCGGCTCCGTTGATGAAACGTGGCTGCCATTCACATGCCTCCTGGTCTTATTCCTTCGGGTTTACACCGGATATGGGGTGTGTGGGTGGAACTATGGGTGGTGCAGCGCAAGCCCCCCATGGTCCCCTTTGTAGGCGCAGGCGTCCGGTGACTGTCCCCATGGACGTCACAGTGACAGGCGAATCCGGATACGGACGCCGCCAAATCATTTCCTTCATGTATTGCGGCACAATAGCGGAGGTGTTTTCCCACCTCTAGCTGACATGTATAATGATGATGATGTATGTGGTAAATTAGGTACAGGGGAAAATCAAAGCAGAAGTTGTAAGCTATTCTGATCAATACGCAGCCCAATCCGGCACATTTAGCAATTTGTCGTCATCATGGAATGCTTGAATCTGACGAGAATTACCGAAAGAAATTCCTTATTCCGATTCCGCCACGCTTTATTCATTCTATTATTTTAATCGTCTTTAAATGCCTGTATATTCGTCGTCCGAAAAGGGGCTTGAAAACGCAACCAAACGTCGAGGTCTTTTAATTATCTTGATAGCCGATATTCACCAGACTACAGGATCTAGTTAGTATGCAAAAGTGGAGCCAGAAGTGTAGGGTGTCATAATAAGATTTGTCCCGAAAGTGCGAAATTGTCTTCCACCATTGCGGTTCCCCGGGGCTGAGCCTAGTCAAAATGAGGCTACGAAACAAGCTACAGTTACCAATTAATTCCACAACCGCTTAAAGCATATAGATGTTAGACTTGTGGTTTAGTCACCAAAGTAAGGCGTAGGTCGTATTATTTCATAGAATGGCCGAAAACGCCGTACCAATTATATATAGTATTAGCAATAGATAGGAGGCGCTTCCGGAATCTACGCGATAATCGCTCGGTTATGGACAAATTGCCTCTTAAAAAAATTTCAGCTTCGAGCAAATCAAACAAGGATTCAGGAAAACGTTGCAATATCTTGCACTCTTTAAAAATTAACCGACTAACTCCTGGTATTAATCAGATTTTGTCGGCAACGAAACAAATAAGTGAAACTTATTGAAACGTGCATATTTTTGTCATAATTGTCTCAAACATACCCCTTGTTCACTTTCTATAAAGTGTCGTAGATCGTTTTGCGTCAGCAACTCGGATCCACTGGAATACCTGAAAGTAAATAATGAGGATAGTTGCATTTTTTGAAAGCTGAATAAAATAACATTGCTTACTGAAAGTATGATTAACTGTTTAAGCAGTTTTACAACGTGTTCCACAACTTGGCATGATGTAATTATATGCTCATGAGTAGGTGCAATTTAATGTGAATATTTGGCGGATCTTACGCGGTAGGTGCTGGGCTTGTGGAAAACTATCTGTGCTGGAAGCTACTCAGAAGAAACTATCAATTATTTATAATATAATTATTATCTTGAACTGAACAGGATGCTTACTAATGTGCAATATAATCATGCTTTCAGAGCATAGTTAGAGTGGCAGGCTAACAGTTGGCTGAATCCACGCAGTGATGTATGTAGGTGATTGATGATTTGTCAGTACCGTTGAAGTTAGTTTTATGGTATGCAAAGCACTCAATTCATGGCCATACGTGTGTCCGTGTGTTCGAAACCATTAACAAAGTCTTGTAGGCTGGAAGTTGGGACACTGGAACCTGATCATCAGGTGGTTATTGAATAATTGGAATCAACTGGTTCCGCACAATGATTTGAAAAGAACAAAATAGGAAAACAAACGCGGAATTTCAAATTGTATACTCAAGCTTGGCATCAAAACAGTTATTTCCTATTGTCTTTTCCCTAGCACTAACAATAATCGATATGCCATCTTGGGTGTGACAAAAACAAGCTTGAAGTGGAAAGTTAATGCCGGGAGTTCCACCCCTAGGTTCATAGCAGCTTCAAGCTTCACACCAATGCGGTACAAACGCACACTTGTGAAAGCTTTAGTTCGTCGCGCTAGACGAACTGGCTCGGTTTATTGTTAGTCCGAAGAGTTCGAGTTAATTACAACCACACTAGTGACGAATGGTTAATCTAACAGGTTTATAGAGAAATACAGCTAAGGAGAGATGTATGGCGAGTTATCTTTCAAGTGTGACTTTACCACTTTGTAGATCACTAAACGTTTAATTTCTGCTATGAGAGAAGTCCCCATATTGTTCAAGTTGTAGTCATTAATCGAACTCATAATTTTCTGGTGCCTCCAACCAAGGAAGCCCAGCCAATCGGAACCAATTCACATTGCATATACCAGTTCTTGTGTACCTGCGGAGCTAGTTACCTAGGTAGGAACGATAGGTTATCGGGCTCCCGAATAAAGGAACACGTGCCAAGGTGTGTTTGATGTGAAACTGACCAGCTTCCCTGCCCTTTTGAACCGTCGTGCGAGCACAGTCCACCAGCTTCATCAATAGGAAAATGCTGGTTGCGCTTCACGAGACATAGCATGGATCCGCGTGCACAATTGTGTTGCGTCAACTTAATCAACGCTTCATTCGTTTCACCGAAGCTGTCGCAATAAGCCGGATGAAGCCAGCCCTGTGAATTCAGCGACAATTATTTGTCAGGTTAAGACTTTCATTTACATAGGGGTGAAATTTCCGTTATTAATTTTGCCTCCCAGGCTTGTTTGGTCACACCCAGAGTTAGTAATATAGGTGTATATCCGTTATTGTTAACAATACTGAGGAGCCAATACAATTTGTATGCATCTACCGGTGTTCGCCTTTTTACCACACTGTACACATTGCTACAGAGAACTAAATCCTTCACCTATTTGATATGCACAGATGGAGCTAACATTGGTTGCGACAGAACACGTTTGCTGAGCAGAGTGAATGACAGAAATTCGCCCTTGCGGTTAAAGTAGCATTAGGATGATAAATAATTGTTTCTGAACGCCCATGGTTGGCTTCATTCGGCCTATAGAGACAACCTCAACAAACCGAAGGAAGCGGGAATCAGCGTGACGCAGGACAACCTTAGACCCGTAGTCCAGTTCTGTCAAGCCACCCGAGACCATTATTTGTTTGCCTGTCCAGAAAGCCGGCGAGCAAGGCAGCACGGATCTTGAGGGAGAAGGGTGTCCAGGCAATCGCAGCGTGAACCTATCTCGGCAGACATTGTTTTATTCGGGAAGGCAAGTACCCTATCGGCTCTGTCTATATAACTTCATCGCAGTCACGCACGAATCGGTATACACAGTCTGGGTTGCCCCCGATATATACTGAGTTTCCGTTGTTTGGGGTACAGTCAAATTCCGCGTTTGGATATGAAGACAACTTTTACAGCAATAGACCATTCTTGATTAGCCGAGATTACATGCATCGTTGTCCTGAGACTCGATCATTCAGCATTACAAGGTAAATCGATAGAAATCTCCTTCGTCGCTGCAGTGAACAATAATTTCTTCGGACCTCGCGGTTGACGGTGGTTTTCCTTACATATTAGAGACCAGCCGTTCGCCTTAAGTGTTCCCATAATTAAAACCAGCTTATCGGCAAAACAGTCGGCAGAGCACGATTAACTAGGGTCTTCCTAAGTGTTTGCTTGTACAATGGAACAGTGGTTCTCTACGGGTAAAAAAGTTAATGCTTAACAGGTCCCGTACGGTGGTTATGATGTTATGGTTAGTATAATTGGGTTTACACCGGTGAACGCATTGAAGTTTAAGTAGAATAAACTGTACGTCCAAAATATAAATCCATAAGAGATGACGGCAAATCTGATGTTGCTCGAAATTGTCTCCTTTTGGTGTGAACATATGAGGTGAAAAAATGTAATGAAATCTGGGATTTGCCTGTCATTGCAATCTCTTACAGACACTTACACTTGGTCATGTAAGGTTGTGCAGCGAAATAAATGCCTCGTCTACTCAGGCACTGAAATCTGTCAAGATGGGAGCAATTGTGTGAGGCTGGCTGAGCCAAATTAACTTTCGCTAAATGACCATCATTCCTGCGACTGATGCGAATGTCTAGATATGATAGGCAATTATGCAGTTCTACTTCACGTATTTGCATGTGTATGTTTAGGGACTCCACCAACTGTGTAAACTGCTGCTCCGAGGAAAAAAATGACACAACTATCATCAACGTAGCATTTGTAAGTGAGGAAAGAACAGTATAACTCTTCTTATCTCTTTCATAAGATTTCAAAACCCTGTTAAACCACTTGAACCTGACAGTTCGCAACTTTATTTGCGTTTTGAAAGGAGGAGCTAACCGAGTGCATGATCATATTGAAGTACACGTTGTGTGGATGGACTTCGACTCGCAATCTCCAGTTCAAGCACAATTTCAATCGGGGCCGGAACGAGAGGATAATGTCGTGAATGTTCATTGTTTTACGTGCCGCTAAACCCTGAATTGTTAGGTCTGCTTGAGCTGTGAAGCCTAAAACAAAGACCGCATCACACACTGACCAATCAATTACTGCCCACATTTCCTGCCAAGCGGTTCCCTCCAGGCGAGTTTATGTGAAGTAAGAAAGCGTAAAGGGTGAGCTAAGAAGGCAAGAGGAGGAATGCTAGTCAAATAGTAATGATACCAAGGTATGAAAGGAACCATAAGAAAAACAAACAGATAGCTGAAGATACAGGTTGGTAAGGAAAAGGGGAAGGTTTCGTACCGCCACCCAAGAGCATCTAACTGACGCTCGAAACCTTTAACCGTAGATTCCCTATCGAGGTGCTTCGGTAGCGAGTACCACCGTCAAATAACCCGGAGCGACAAGAGAGTTTCCGTTCTTACCCGGTCAGAAGGCAGTTTGTGCGGCACTAACGGGTGACACAGTTGACTAGGCAGCTTGGCAGGACTATATAGCCAGGACAAGTTCAGACGGATCTTACCCGTTAGGATACGGTAAGTGAGAATCAAGTCTCCTCTAATTCTGCGGTAGTGCATTGAGTACATACGCAAGCTAAGCAAACTTTCGGGATACGTTTGATTCCGTAAACTCTGCACTCTCCCACCCGTAAAACCAGCTCCAGTCCTATTTTGTCCCTTACAAGACATGGTGGACAAGCCTGGACACAGATTTCTAAGTGGGGTTGCAAAAAGTCTGAGAACTGTTTCACAAAAATATCGGCCGTTAGGATACTGAAGGAGCGTCGAATAAACCACATCGTACGGAAAACTCTGCAAGCAGCCTTCTTCCAACTGTCTCCAGAGTGAAGCACTGAAGTGTGAACGATGCCTCGATCAACCTGTTAAGTGACAACTGAGATTTCACTTCCACCAGCTACATAACGTGTGGGGGAATAGCACCTCCAATGTAGGGGACAGAACATTTCGCCTGATTTATAGGCATCAACCATAAGGTTGAACAATCTGAGAGCCTATTTAAGGCACGCTGAATTACCTCAGAACCCTCAGGGATATCCATTATATTCCAGAGATTTACGTCATCAACAAACAATAACGACGGTACTTCAAGCTTCTGGGATAGGTCATTGACATAAATTGTGAAAAACAACGGCCCTAAAACCGAGTGCTGCAGAACGCCACTGAGAACAGCTTGTCTAAGCGAAATGCTACGCCCCACATGAATATACTGTTCTCTCCCCTCTAGGAAAGCAGACACCCATTTGAGGGCGCTGCCAGATATCCCATACGACCTCAAATTTAATGAGAGTCCTTGATGTGGGACAGTATCAAAAGCTTTAGAGAAGTCAACGGAATGCATCTCGATAGTGTGACCGTTGTCCGCTGCCTCAGCCCAGCTTTCACGAGCTACAAGTAAATTTGTCAGACACGAAAATCCCTTAGGGAGTCCGTACTGTGCCGCACTGAGAAGGTTAAACCTATTCAGGCGACTCGCTACCGAATCCCTGACCAGTTTTTCAAACAACTTAATTATTACGATTGTCAAGCTGGCAGGCCAGTAGTTCGCAGGCAGATCACTGTCACCGCCGTTAAAAATCGGACAGATAATTGACTCCCTCCATTCCGAAGATAAGGTGCAGTTGTCCAGCGACATTTTAAGCAAGCATGCGATGTCCACATAGATCAGCCGTCAATTCGTGCATCAGCTTCGGAGGAATTGAATCAGAGCCAGAAGCTTTGGAAGGCTTTAGATCTTGTAATAGCCCGATGACTTGTCTCCGTTATGCTGATTTCAGTTAGGCAAGGATCCTCCGGGACACTTGTG